CTAACAATCTTCCTTGCATTGTGAAGTCTACTAATGATTTGATTAATCTTAGCAAGAGAAGGATTTTGTGCTCAACATGCAGAACCAACAATTTTGTAAATAATAAAYRKTTCAACAGGTGGCATGGAGATAACAGTTATCATGACAACTGGTAAGAACAGGTATGATCCCCATTACTTATATGATTCATATTTTAATCCTGGTCATCCTGTTCATAGTGCTGAAAAGAATACATCTTATAGAAATAAATGGTTTGGTAGTTACAACATACCCCAACCAAATTCTAACATATTAGGACCCAAGTCTGTTTGGGTACCAAAATCTACTTGATTTGGTTTTGCARGTGTGTCCATCTTATGCTGATCAGAATATCAATTTTCTGTGATACACCTATGCAGGGGGAGTTGTACATTATTTCAAACTAAGGTTTCTAAACATCCAGTTTAGGACCCGAGCTTCACAACAAAGGCTTCTGAACACTTCAGTTCAAAACCCGTGCTTATCATGATTTTTTTCATTTCATTTTTGAGCTTAAAAGATTTATTACTTTAATCTACTTTCTAGGGGGCGTTTCCTTAGAAAGTTCAATAATTGGTTTTGGAAACTGATTTTTTTAAAACACGAGTACATTCTCTGAACAGGTATTTCTTGAGATTTTACTTGCGTAACTTCTCATCGTTCATAATTCCATTACCTGTTTCAGCTATTCTTCATACTGTTATTATCACGTCTCTTATACGAAAATCATTTTCGGTGATAATACACTCGTTTGTATTCAACTTTGTTTTCTGATATTTTTTTTACACTGATTCATATACATTTTTTTTTCATATCAGAATCTGTAAACTTGTTCTTACATTTCTTCATTCATTTCTCTCATACATATCAAATAATCGAATCGTTGTCGCTTCATTCTTTATTGATTGTGCTTAAAGCCAAATTAATTGATCAAACTTTTATCTGATCATTGTGCTTTAATGAAATAATATTGTTGATCATCCATTATGATCATATGTGCATAACTCTAAACTTTTAGGAG